TCTTGTCATATGTGCCATGGCTTAAGATCTGAAGTCACATTTTCAGTTCATATATGTAAAGTTTAAGCACATGCAGAGCCCGTGGAGCTTTTCAAGCTGGTCACCAGTAGTGTCACAATAGCTAGAAGCAAGAAAGAGGTTCACATTAAAAACAGTGCGTTGAGTGATACAGCATTGTCCCAGCTTTGGAACATGGAGTATTTTGCTAGTAGATGTTTCTACCATTGTTAATGCTTAAATGTATTAGATTAAATCTATTTAAAATATGCATATGCAGTCTAGTCTCATTTTGTTAGATTACATGGTAGTGGTTTCATAGTTACTGGTATGATCCAAGTTTGCTTGAAGAATCTCACTGACTTGAATGTTCTTTGGAATAGATTCTCAAGTTGCACCACTGTATTCTAAGTTTTAATTTGACTCCCTTTTATCTGTTGTGATCTGGTGAATTCAACCTTTTGCTGGGATACTTTGGAAAAAAAAAAAAAAAAGAGTTTGATGCCATGCAATTCCTATTTAGAGATTAAAAAATAACCTTTTCAGCTCCACAATGCATCAGTATGTAAAGTCAAGGACCATGAAAGGCAGAGGCCACTTGTGAGCAGTATGGAGCAATTAACTTGGGTAATAAGAGAGGGATTTGTTCAAAAATATTTCTGTATAATTTAGGCCAGAAGAATATTTTTCAGGCAATTTACTAACTTCTTACGACACAATTTGTGTAACAGCAAAAAAACCTCTTAATTTTTAATTTTCTACAACATATCGCAACTTGTTATCAAGGAAACATGGATCATCCTGTTAACTATGAAACAAACCCCTTCTTCCCACTGCCCCCTGTTCTTCACCCAGACACCCTCGTACCTTGCTTAGACTGTTCCTTTAGATGGATTCAAGCATCTGCTTTGGTCCCTGTCTGTGTGCAACACTTATGTCTCCAGAAAGAGTACCCTACCTCTGCTGTCCCTGGGGGAAAGAAGTTCCTTCCCTCCACCCCATGCTCCCCACCCCCCCTTCTTTTTTCTCTTATGTCTCTTTCTAGGACAGGATTGTGTGCAGTGTATCTTTCTTGCTGTCTCTCTCACACCTTTGTCAGGAAACAGTAAAGATAACATCTGATCTTTTTTTTTTTTTTTTTTTTTTTTTTTTTTCCCCCTCTGGAACACTTCTACTCAAAGAGCTTGCTTGTATAAGAGTGTGCTCACCTGAGGACAGTGCATTCATTTCTTCTTCACAAGTCTTTCTCCATTTATAGGTTAACCATTTTGAATCAGTATAAGTGAGCAACAAGCCTTCACCAATTTGTTTGTATCATGATTTCAGGAGAGAAATGGTACATACAGCAGGAACTACAATCCTTCTCTGAGTGTGAATTTAGAGATTCCCAATTGCTGATTTACCAAGGTTAAGCAAGCTCTTTCAATTCCAGTTTGGAAATATACTACTTTCTTCCATGTTATTGTGATCTCTTAGATCTTTTCAGGTAGGTTACTAAAGAGATATGCCTCTACATTGTTGTAGCTGAACGCAGGTTATAGGTTATGCTTATTTTATAAGTAAAAACTTGTCACAGTTATAAAGACTGACTAAGCATGTGATGTAAACATAACCTGACCATGCTGCTGCCGTTACTGTTGCATGATCCGGTGGGCCCTGCAATAAGCTTTGCCCTGGAACTGGCAATTCCATCGGGGTGACAGAGGCTGCTCGCAAACCAGTCTGCGCTGCAAGCCTTTTTCTTCAGCATGCCTGAGACAGCAGTGCTCTGATCTGGGAGTAGGGCAGGGTAATAATAACAAATCAAGAGATGTGAGCTAGAAAAATGTGCCTGGGGAGGACCTGGGTTAGAGAATGAAGCAACTCTGGGATGATTTCTGCTGTACAGAAGTCAAAAAGAGGAAAGATGTGTGGGAGCTTGTGACTGCCAGGGCCTGTGGCATTGCGGTGTTGTACCTCAGTGCTGTCAGTATGTATCCCTCTCCTTCCAGCTCCCTCTCCTCAGCAACAGTCCTTCATTTATTGCTTTCTCAGATGTATTCCTGTCTCTCCCAAGTGACCCATTCCCCCAGTTAGAGATGTGCTCATCTTGGGATGATTGCAGCTTCCTCAGTATTCTGGTTTTAGGTTTTCTTGCTGCGCAAATGGAACTTCTCATGGTACTGCACTGGGGATATACCAAGCATGGAGGTCTAAGCAGGGCCAAGTCTACTGCTCCCATGGTTTAGCCTGAAACTCACAGCTAGTGCTCTGGGTAACGTGTTCCCCTAGATGAGATGCTGTACCTCTCATCTGTCACTTGAGATGATGGGAAGAAAAACTGAGACTCTCCAATTTAATTGGACCCATATTTGCCCTTTGGAAGGAGATGGGTCCAGCAGGAACAAAGGGAAGGACTGCATCCTATGTAAAATATTTTTGAAAGCTACTAATTTGGAACTGCTGCTGTTTTGATATTTGGTGAAATGGTCGTTTGGAGATAGGTCAGTTAAGTGAAGCAATTGTAAAACAATTTTATATTATTATATACAAGCTCAAGGCAGAATACAGTTTAACTTTATTGGTATAGGACAGTGATTGTGAAAATCCTAGAGTAAGTTTGAATACAGAGTACAGCAAAGCTCCATTTTGTCTTTGAAGAATTAGATTTAAATGAGGATTTGACGAATAGACTGCATGTGTCTTTGTAACAAGATTTGACATCATTAGAGGAGTGTATGCTTCGGCTCTGATAAAAATTATATCATCTGTAATCTTGTCAAGAAAAGAGTTACTTCAACGATCACTTTGCAGGCGTTTTTGTGAGAGTTGGTCCAATTTCTTTGTTGTCCATATAGACAAACTACTACTTGTCCATAGGATACTCTAAAGGTGACCATAAATCTTCACCATCAACTCATGTATGTATGCTAACAAGTTGACTGGTTGAAAGTCTTGGACCTTGAGTGTTGGTGATTTTCTATTTAATCCTTAAAGAGTATGCTCTCAGAAGAGTAGAATAGTTTCTATATAAAGGAAAACAGTAATTCAACAACATAGTGCAGTTTGGAGCTTTGTGGTTCACCTTCAGAATACAATGTGTTATAGTAACTTTGGGCAGATATTTTTCTGTGTCTAACCTGAATGAAAGCTCTGTGACTGCTTAGTTTTTATTACCATATCATAGCTTGTAAATCATGCTGTGTTAGTAAGGGCTGACGTTATTCACATGGAAATACTAGTCATCTTGACATTCTTCCAAATTTGTTAAAAGTTTTTAGCTAGTACAGCAGAGGCACAACTGCTATATATGTTCATAGAAGTCCTTAACTGGCTGACAGACATACTTCAGTATTATTCCCAGGAACTAAACATGTCTTGTACTCTGGTGGTATTCTGAGTTTGAGAAACAGATAGCATGCAATACTCAGTGACTCATTGTGCCCAGCACTGCTTTTCCTTCACAGTGGTTTTAAGGAAGATGAATGCTTTGCTTTCCCATCTCTGTGTCTAATTTTACTAGGCCAGCAGGCAGGAGGACTTTCAGACCACCACGTGATGGCATCCAAAATATTAAAACTTGAAAATGACCCGCCAGTTTTAGTTCAGTTTGAGGAAGTTTTCTTAGAGAATTCTGGTTCATGAAAATATGTTGCAAGTAGGTATGGCTGGGTGTTACTACTGTGCTGTCGAACATTGTATCTGTGTGTAAAACATCTTATGTTCTTACTTTCTGGATAAATGCACAGGGCCGTGCTTTAGTGTTAATTTGTAGCACTCTACTAAAGGGACATGAGGGAGATTTGTTTGTCTTGCTACAAAGCAGAATTTGGCCACCAGTACGCTGGCAACAATCATAATCTGTTGGTTTTATCCTTTGTGTTAATGGGCTGTTAAGGGTAAATTTCTATCTTGAAAGGCAATAAGATCTTGCAGCTCAAAGTATCTGCTTTTATATTTTCTTACCAAAAGAGTGACTTGTCCAGAATGTAACTGTACCTCTCTTTCTCTCTGATATCTGTGTACACACACACTGAAATAAAAAATGAGGATTTATAAGTAATGTTTTGGTAATTTTTCTAATGCACATTTTGTCTAATCTTATAACCAAATATGTTTTGCATCATAAGTCATGGCTGCATTTGACTTTACTGTAATTTTCTGCTATTTATAGCAGAAGAAATTCCTCATGCTCTAGATAAAGCTATTTAAAATAAGTTTTTGCTATCGCCACAAGCGACGATATAAATTAATCTAACATGTATACCTGCAGAAAAGAAATGAAATCATCTAAAAATCAGAAACTTATATTGTATATATTTCAAAAACTTGCAGATTTGTTTGAGGCAGCCTGCCAAAGATAGCATTTGTTTCCTTGCAGACTTTGTTGTAACAGTGTATTTAGAATCATTTTATTCCTGAAGGTTTTTTCTGAATATTTTAGCCCATTGTTATAATGTGCTTAAGCTGGATCCAAAAAAATTTTTAATATGTGGTATTTTCACATATTATAGTGTAATCATAAAAAAAAAAAAAAAAGTTAAATTTAAATGTTGAAAAATGAAGATGTGAAAAAAGATTGTTAAAGTGATTTCAGTTATTACCCATTTAATACCTGAAAACACATAATACATTGTGATTGATTTTAAATTTTTAAGCAAAATACAGTTTAAAATTTCTAAAAATTCGGTGACCTTCATGGACATAAAAGTTTGCAGTATTGATTGAATTCAGTATTACCTATTTTCATGTCCAAAATCTCCCATACACAAATGAAAATAAGAAAATGAGGTAATACAATCTAAATTTGAAAACTAACACTGCAAAATGATTTTTCCCTGGAACAAAACAATTAAATTGTAATGAACAAAGTTTTGTATTTACAATAACTTGATCAATCTTTAAAATAAGCGTTACTTTTGACTTGTTATTAAAAGCACTTCCATAATTAGCTTTTTGCTGTTTATGTTTTTTCGGGATTTCTCTATAGCAAAGTTTCTCTTGTATTTTTTTTTTAAACACAGATATCCACCCATTCCAGAACTAATAATTGCTACAGCCAGAGACTGAAATGGTATGACTGGATCTTTAAATAAGTTGGCTTTGACAGCTCCATCATTTTCTGAGAACTTGGAACGGAATTTGGGCTTGGCTTCTGTACTGTCCTAAGTTATAATGCCATCCTTGCCTAATGAGGGAGGTATGCTAGTCTTGGATTTTTAATGTAGCCTATTAATTATTCACTATGCTTGTACCTCTAAGTTTCAATGAAGTAAATGTTTGTATTTTTAGTTCATTTGTTTACGTTATTTGAGATATAAAGATGTTGATAGTTACAACATTATTTTTTAAAGATAACCATGGAACTGCTCCTCTGACTTTGAGTTCGGAACTACCCTACCAAAGCACAATTAAAAGAAAAGTCAGAAAGAAGAAGAATGGAGTCATCACTGCAAATGTTGCTGGCACAAAATATGAAATTGGTAGGAAGCTACATATTTTGTTTTCATACTGATAGCCACTGATGTGAGTGAATTACTAACTAATGAGGTGAATTAATGGACTGTGCATCAAGGTGACAGTGAGACATTTCCAAAGGATTTTCTTCTGTAAGATACCTTTTTTTTTTTTGTTTTTTGTTTTTTTTTTTTTGTAACATTGAATTGATAGGTTTGAACACTGCATCTGTTACTCCCCATTTGTTACTCAGGGAAGGACCTTAAAATGCAAGAACTTAATTAATCAAGAAGGCTGTGGAAAAACCCTTGAATTATGAATTATTTATGTGTTTGGAAGTTTATTTAAGGCCTTGAATGATGAACAGTGTAAATTTCGTGTTAAATACTCCAATTATACAGAAGTTTCTCAATAAAATCTGCTAATGTTTTGTATTTTGATGCTTGGGACTACTTCAGAAAAATATTTTCTCCTAGAACTTGAGATATGTCTGGCACATAAACACTTTTATCTTTTTTTATATTAAAATAATATATACATTTTCTTTTGTAACTATTGTACCTTAACTAAGGAGACATTCTAGTCCCCTGTCTGTAGTGACACTCACGGTCTTCACTGTTTCAAAATTAACGTATGTGATAGCCAAGATTAAATCTAAAAGCTGTGCGAGTGGACTTTTGATAGGTGATTGTGGAATTTCCTGAAGCTCTTTACAGTTCCCATCAGTGGTAGTGCTCTGATTCCAGCTTCAGTACAAGGTGCTGTAACTTTGTAATGACAGGTTTGCAACAGACTGATAGAAATATTGTAAGATAAAGAGTAGCTAGTGTTCCAGCATTTTTCTCATACAAGTTGAATATTGGAAGTGTTTAAAATCTTAATAGATTTTTTTTTTTAAATTTTGAAAATGAGTTTATTTTAGAGATTAAAAATAATCCCTAAGTATACGATTTCTCCATAGTACGTGTAGTGATACGAGAAATGGGATTTGTGAAAACACGTGATGAAGATGAAACAGCTAATCTTATATGGTGTGATTCTGCTGTGCAACAAGAAAAGATTGCTGAACTTCGGAACTACCAGGTAGAGTTGTAGTTAGGATTTCTGACATGTTTCAGTAAATTGCTTACTGCTTTACTCTGAAACATTCAGTAATGTGTCACTTTTGGCCAGTTACGTTTATATGGAGAGAAAAAAAAAAAAAACCCAACCACAAAACACTGCCAACCAGACTTCAATAAGGCTATACCTCTACATATTTTAAAATCTTATTCTCTTTTCCAGAGTTACTTGTTCATACCACTTGGAATCTGGTGTTTAAATATTTGGGGCGGTTCTTTCTTGCTTTTGTCTGCCAGTTGGGTGTTGTGAATGATCAGAGCTGGAAAGAAGATGCAAAACATCATTTATAAGTTGTTCATAAGCTTTTAAGCTGTAAGTTAACAAGAAGAGCTCTCTCCACAGTTTCTGTGAATAAATAATTCATTTTTTTACCATTTATGATAGCATTCTTTGTTCCTAGATAGCTTTGTTAATAAGAGTATGATAGTCTCGTTTCATGTCTGAAATTAAATATCAATGTGCATACTCATGCTGGTGGAGGAGAATACAACTTACAGCATATTTGGTATTGATGAAAATACATAGTATAATGTAAGATATTATCTTAAATAATTTATATGTAACACTAATTATGTTTGCCTGAGCATGCAGTTGAACATTTTACATGATTGTATTAGGTATGCCAGGAAATCTAAGAAGTCCCAACTGCCTATCTTTTTTTCTTCTTCCTTAGAGAATCAACCATTTTCCAGGAATGGGAGAGATCTGCAGAAAGGATTTTCTGGCAAGAAACATGACTAAGTAATCTTTCTTTTAATATTAAGAAGTTTTTCAGCTGTAGTATTTAGTGCAGTACAATACTGAATTGTTGCTTGTAAGGTTTGTTTATTTTTACTAAGAGGCTATGACAGGACCAAGAATAATTTCCAGAGTTTCTTAATAACTTTGGCTATGGTCCTGAATCTGTAGCATTGGAGTGGGCTACTGTATCTCTCCAATTGACTTCAGTGTAAAATGGTGTCGGCTCAGTTATCTGTCTGTGCATTGCAGAATGTAGGAGATGCTTAAATGATTGTATAATATACTTAATACATAATAGACCCAGGTATATATCCTATAATGGTAGAACAGAAAAAAATAACTAGTATGTGGATGGATATTATTTGTTTAAAATTATTAATAACTACATTGTTTTGTATCTAAAATTTAAAAAATGTGAAGTGTCTTACTATTTATATAAGAAATAAGTCAGAGAGGCTCATTTGTCTAATTATAAATTCTCCTCACTCTAGCGGGATAACTAGGTTCTGAGGAATTGTCCTAGCTGAGAACCTGTGAGTAAGACCTGTAAGAAAACAATACTAAATAATGATTCAACAGCCTGGAAAAAAGGAAGAGTTTAGAGATAAATGTGTGTGAATATTTTGATTCTTCTAATCTAAATTAGTGTAAAATGCAATGATTAATAGAGTTAAGCTTTTGGGCCCTACACTGCATTTCCTGTTACCAGAACAGAATTTGTTTTCATATATGAATGTAAGTAATATGATATCTCCTTTCTCTCTATTTCCTTTTCTGTTTTGTGACTACAACGCATAGTGTGTAGAAAGTATGCAACTGTTATGATGCAAATATTACATGCATTGCTATGTTGTCTATGTGTTCTACATGTGGACCAGAACTTCCTTGTGTCAATAAATGCTACACAAGCACTTTTCACTGCTCCTTCTAGACTTAAACTCTAAGTAAAAACATAGAGATAGCACAGGGAGGCAAACAGCAATTTGGAGAGGTCTTGGAAACAGTGAAACTGCATTGGTCAGCTTGGTAGGCAGTGGTATCCCTGTGTATTGCTACAATTCTGTGATTTTTAAAAAAATGTGCAAAATGGAGAAAAGGTTCTTGTTATCATGCACACATTGTTTTCAATACATTCTGATTATACCTCTCAACCTACCGAATTCTGACTTTCAAACAGTTTAAAGGTACTCAATGTGGAGATTGAATATATTATATATAAGATGGGATTAGTTTCTCTGATATGATAACTCTGGGTCAAACATATCTATGGTGTGACTTCACTTAATATCAGTAGATATAGCAGAGTTTTAATCAGTCTGTTTTTCACAGTGCTGACCTCACAATTCAATACTTCGTATTCATAATTTATAAATGTCAAAATGGTATGCCTTCAGACTGCTTGTGAAACAGACGTGTGTGAAATCACAAGTCAGTTGGGATACATGGTTGGGCCCGCTCTTGTCTGTAGTGGAGGATTTTGTTCCATACAGCTGCTGTTCTGTCTTAAAATTTATTAGATCAGGATTGTGCAGAAACACTGATTCTGTTCTTTTGCTTTTCTGCTGCATGCAGTCTTTTCTGTTCCTTTTACTGACTCGTACAGAATAGCTGTGGATTTTGTGCCATTGAAAGTTCATGAAACTATTGCTGAGAATTGGTGGAGAGTAGACTCTTCTTTTTCTTTTACTTCTACCTTTGTTGTTGTACTGATCTCATGCTTCCATTTTGTGCAAGCTCTTGAGAATGGAGCGAAAGAACAAATCTACTGGACTCTGAGGCAAATGCTGTTTGGGAGGAATTGCACTTCAGGAATTCCTCTTACAGCCAATATCCAGGCACTCTGAATCACAGATCAATGTGGTTTTCACATGCAGAAGGATGTAAGGGAGTGATGTAATATGGAGCATGTGTAATAAGAAAGAAGATGACCCAGCAGTGAAAGTGTAGAGATGCAGAGTAATGGAAGAAATACACTCAGGAATGTATTTGAGAACAAAAGGAGGAACAAGCCTTGTTTTCAAGGGGAATAATCAGAACACAGAAAAGAAGAAAAAAAAAAAAGCAGAGGTGCCATCGTAGGGCCAACTAGAGACCATTTGTAAATGGTTTCTTAGATGAGATCTCCTCGTGTGAAGGATAAGTGGGGTTAATGAATACAGTAAGTGGGGGTGAAGGTGTACAGGATGAATGGAAAGGGGAACAGACCCATGTTTGAGAGAGTCATTTTTGCAGCACCTTTTTTGCTTCCATTTAAAAGGTTTGTGAACTGATCATGGACCAAGAATCATTCTCACCCATACCTACCCACTAAACTCCTTTCATGCCTGAGAAGTTAGAGGATCTTGAAACCTAAGCAGCTGAACCTGCATTATTAGACTGACAAATCATGTCTTCAGTAACCTATGTTTTGTTTAAAACTTTTGATTCTTTTGCACAGAAAGCACTCTGAGAAACAAGAGCACAGTCTGACCACATCTGTGAGCTAAAATAGCACTCAGAAGAACAGTAATTTGCTGTTTAATTCTCAGACCTCCTGGTAAGGACTGCAAAGGCTAAATGATAGAGCAGCACAGTGAAAAAGTGGTTACCAACAGCAGTGGATAGCAGATGTGCTGGAAAATAGGGCTATTGTAATGGAATGGGTCTTGATTTCACAAGCTACTCGTTGATGTTTCTAAGCCATTTATAAATAGGGCCAAGCAGGGAAAGAACAGGGCTGAATTCTTTTGTTGAGTTTTAGTGAGCACCAGGATTTGTAAACAATGGTTAAGTATTCTGCTTCATGTTATTAAGTGTTTGTAGTCTAACCAGTTATGCATAAGATAGAAAAAGGCACAGAGAGCTGATGTGCTTGCAGTCATGAAATAATATATCTAGAATACCATGAAACTATATTCATTGAGTAGGGGGTATGTGTATTGAAACATGTGAGTAAGTTAAATGGCAAGTCTCTGTCATATAACACTTCAGGATGCATATGATAAATAATTTGGAGAGGGATGGAAACTAACACAGAAATTACTTTTTGCCTAAAAAGAGGATAATTTCTGCCTAGATAAGTTATTCAGTTAGCAAGTTAATAACATTTGTGAAAATATAGGAAATGGAGAGTAGTTTAAAAATATGCATGAATCAGGAATTATAATACCTATTTATGTTTTTTAAAACTTTTTCTGAGTATTTGGTGGCTTTCATCAAACCAGATTTGTAGAAATAGTATTTACAATGAAGCTGCAGAAGCACTGAGTCTCATGCAGTACTTCAAGATTTCTATAGCTATTGTGGTTTCTGCAGAGTGTTTGCTGGGTAGTTGGCTAAACAATTTGGTGACTGTGTATCTATTATACCAGTAGGGCTTGGCAACAGTCCTGGCCTTACAGATGTAATTGGTGGCTCTGTTTTTTCCATCGGTATTTGAGTCACTTAAAGAAAAAGCGACTTGTGCTTCATCAGGGGTGTTATGTAGGCTCATAATAGAAAAGAAAAATTGAAATGATATTGTAAGTCTCTTTTAAGTTATCCTGATGCTATTAGTTTTCATTACAAAAGGAGAAGTATACCTAAATCTGTAATTAATTGAAAAATATTAAAATTCATCATAATGCCGTTTTTTAAAATATTGAAGTTGGGGAAATTCCTATGTCAGTTAATCTATTTTTAAACATCCAGTCACTTTCTGTTGGCCTGGGAATATTTGTATTTTAGATGTGTCCACCCTATGTTACAGAGTAGTTTTGAGTTACCCTAACTGATTTCATATGAAGTTATGTATGAAGTTTCACGTAGTATGAATACCTGAAACAAGCTAGCTGCACCAGTATTTAACTCAGCAAAGACTAAATTTATTCTGCTGTGAACTATGGTATACCAGTCTGCATAGTACTACCAAGTCCACATTGCTCCTATAACTTGGCTGTTAACCAGTATTAAAGCTACCTTGTTTAAAGCTAACCCATACCTATGTAGCCCATACTGTCAGTCTGGTGTGGGTATATGCTTCCTGTCTGCCAGATACACAGCTTTGGGTGATGGAAACTTCTACTAACTGAATTCTCTGCCATTTTTCTTCTTCTATTTGTCTTTTCTGCACAGGCAACAGAGCTATAAAATGAGATATGCTTACTACCTCAGCTGCCACAGCTACTAAAGCAAGAGAGATCAGGATCTTGCTGCGTCCTTTGACCAGATTAAGTTTCAGAGATTGTTCCCTATGATGTCTTAACCTTATTTTTGTTTTAGTTCTTCTATTTTTTTTCCTCCCTTGTCTTGCTTTGCATTTCTTTGTTCTCTTCTGTCTAAATAAGGTGCTCAGGGAATCTCAATCACAATATGCTGGTACTAAACACAAATCCAAGCTTGTGTGTTTTACAGGTGCATGAGCAATTGCTTGACCTGTGTCAAAGTGTATTTACTACAATTCCTTACTTTTGAAATTCCATCAAAAGACTAGAAAGAAACAAAAAACTCTTCTTAAATTGCTTCCATTTTAATTTGAAATTCAGTCCTTGTTATTACTATTTCTTATACCCGTGAAGAAACTCCAAATATTCCAGGTCCTCTTTTTTTTGTGTGTGTTGGTCTTCATACATCCCCAAACACATACCTATATGAAAATTAAAACACTTACCAAATATCCCCACCCTTCCCAAAGAAAGAAAAAGAAAAAAACAAAAAAAAAACCCAACTCAAACAAAGGAAACGGAGTAGCATTAAATCATCAGGGTAAGTGAACAAAAACTATAACAGGAGTGAGATGGATTCCAGTAACATAATAAGCAAAAATGCACAAGATAGTCTGCTTTTCTTGTTCTTAAAGTGTGCATGTGAGTATGTTAACTGTTCTTAAACTGCAGAAGTTTACTTTCATATTACAGCATTTTGCTAAAATGTTTTCTTGTCAAATTATTGTAAATGCTTTTTAATTCAGAGGATTGAGGCATCAAAATAGTTAAAGGATTTTAACTCAACTACACTTTTTTGCAGAATGATCAAGAGTCAGCCTCAGGAGTACAGTTTTATTCCTCGAACATGGATCTTCCCTGCAGAATACACACAGTTTCAGAACTATGTAAAAGAACTGAAGAAGAAACGTAGACAGAAAACTTTCATAGTCAAACCAGCTAATGGTGCAATGGGACATGGGTAAGTCGTACGTTAGCTTCAGTCTTCTCACTCACTAAAGGTGAAATCCAATGCTATTTAAAACACTAACAGAAGCTGTGTATTAGTAAGAAGATTGTATTTCCAGTTGTATGATGTATGAAAGTTCATGTATTGGATGAAGGAGCAACAAGCAGAAGCAGATAAGATATAAAGCTAAATCAAAGTGATATTTTAATGTTGTTATGAAAGTGGTATAATTAGAGAATGCATTTTCTGATGTTCAAGTAATTCTTAATATCAGGATTATTTTAATTATGAATTTATATGAAAAATATATGGATTAATCTGTTGCTCTTAGACTTAGAAGTGAGAGTGTATTGGGCATAAATAGCAGAGTTTAGGTGGCTGGGAGCTGCAGGGGTGCCATATGTGAAAGAAGATCAGGATCCTCCACAGTTCTAAGACCAGCTCAACCCCCACATTGTGTACTAAAGCTGCTGCCAGGCAGAGAAGCACAAAAATATTTGAGAGCAGCAGCTCTGAGGTGTAGGAGAAACAGAGGAGGCACTGTTGGAGGTGATACCTGTGCCAGAGGAGGGATAACTCTGAAGAGACTGTGACCTGCAGTTGAATTGAAACAGTTGATAAATTGAAAGGAACAGTAGCAGCATAATCCAGAGAAAAGCCTGGAAAGTACTTCAGTATGTTAGGAGTATTCAGCACCAGAACACTGAAATGTATCATAAATAATAGAGGGTAAGATCAAGGCAACAAAGCTATGGGAATTCAGGGTTAATAATTATGTGCTGAAGAATATTAACTATTACAGTTTTTTAAAGGTCTATGTAGTTGGGTACTGTTAGTTTATAGTCCATATATAAACCATTTTTCACTCTGATGTGGGGAAACTGGAATACAGAAATACTGAGCTTAATATATGCCATCCTTATTCACACTGATCAGTGTCCTGCTTTGCAAACAACATCACTAAGTCAGGTTACTACTGAAAGTTCTTTTCAACCTGTACTTTGGGCAGAAGTTGTGACAAAGACTGGAAGCCTATTTTTAGATCTGCATGGAGAATAATCACAGAAGCTGGAGACTGGTTGTTCTGCCAAACAATTTCTAAAGTGTAGAGGGAACCCATTATTACAAACTGTTCAATCAAAGAAAGCAGAGAGTTATTTTGAAATGGTTCATTGCCTTTTTTCATCCAGTGAAGCACCATAAAGGGCAGGAAACCAAAAGGCATTTAAGTGAATGGAACTTTTTCTCTACCCTACAAATCAGATACACAAGTTTCTTTCTGCAGGTAAACTTTAGCCTGACTACCTGGTTGGATGACCATGAAAATCTATTTCGAAGAGTAATGTCAAAATTCTATGTTTTTAAAATAACATTTGTTTTTACCAGGATCTCTTTAATAAGAAATGGAGAAAAGTTACAAGCTCAGGATCACTTGATTGTTCAGGAATATCTTGACAAACCATTTCTTATGGAAGGCTACAAGTTTGATTTACGTGTGTATATTCTTGTAACCTCCTGTGATCCATTAAAAGTATTTTTATATCATGATGGACTGGTGAGAATGGGCACGGAAAAGTATCATCCCCCCAGTGACTCAAATTTGGTAAGTTGAAGTTCATTCCAATTTATTGCTTATGCGTGTAGACTTTTACCTGGGTAGTGTTTGGAGGAGATAAAGTAAGTTGTGACATGAGATGTAATTGGTATTCATCTGGCTGAACTTTTGCATTGCCACTGAAGAGTAAAAATTAAAATGAAAGATAATTAACTCATACTTTTCTACTAAAATCAAAAGTGTAGCCATATTATTGCTTATGTATAAAAATTTTATATGACATTGCATGTATGTATGCTAAAGAGTTTAAATATTTCCTAATAGAAAGCAAAAAATATTAATTATTGACATGCAGCCCAGAAAAAAATCAAGTAAAGAAAATAATTTAAAGAACAGTTACGTTGCTTTTATATTTAGCTGAGACTCAGTTTGGGGTTGGGTTGGAGGGGTGGGGAGATGAGGTGCTAGGTCACTGTTTAACATGCCTGAAGTTTAGAGCTTCTGCTGAGGATCCTGCAATGTTTCAGCCATTGTGTTGGGAACCTATGCAGAAAACAGAGAAACAGCGATGCAAAAGACCAGTGCATGAGCGTGGTCACTGCAGTCCCCGAACGTGAGGGAATGTGCTGCTGGTGCTGCCTGTCAGTGACCGCTTCCACAGGGAAAGGAGTGTGCACTTTGACAACTGTAGGATGATACGGCAGGGCTGCCTGTAAACTTGCAGACAGCCAAGAAATGGTAAGGGATGTGCCAAAGTTTTTGGACACTTGAATCCTCCTGTTCCTGTATAGCATCTTCCCCTGGTGAGAGTTGTAATGTCTCTCTTCTGGCAGACACCAAAGTGCAGATGTCTGTAAAGAAAGAAGTAGATTTGAAGCACTGGGAGGCATCAGTAGACTTCTTTCTTATACCTCACTGTATTCTGTTGCTACTGTATCTTTCCTTCCTCATACCATATACTTTTAGAGCTACTCCAGTGTAATTATGCAATAAATACATGGAGAGCCTTTTTCCCAACTTGTCACTTAAAATTGTGACTGTCTCTTAGTGCACCTTTGAAGAATGCAGGTATAATTTGAAGCCCAGTGCAAATAGTATATTTGGAAGAGTTCCAATATTATATTTGTAATAGTTTGCTATTAATATTTTTTTACTCTTACTAATCTCAGCATTAGCAGTGCTGAAATATGCTCTAAGCAAATAAACAGAACAGGCAATTGCTTCTGTGTTCTCACAACTGTTCTTGTTGTAGTTTGTCTATTATATGAAATAACCTGGCTTATCACTAATGGCATTGTTCTTTGGATGACATTGTTCCACAGTGGCATTGTTTCAGATAACTTCAGACTAAAGATGAATTCAGATGTTTAACAAAACACTTTCATTTTTTTTGTAGTCTGAAAAATAATTGCTTTTGTCTGAAATAACTTGAATTTCATGGAAAGATGACAGCTGTAATGACTCAAAACCAATAGGTTTCAGAGTGATTCTCAAAACAGTGATTGGAAACCATGGAAGAAATTAATTAATTCAAGTGCTAATACACTATATTGTTAATTAGCCTGCAATTAAATTGATTGGTTTTGTTGATTTCATTAAGTTTTTTAAACATAAGTAAGTGCAGTGAGATAAATGACAGCAGAAGGCTTGTGTTATCTATTGACTGTCTTATCAAAAAGAAATTGGAACCGAAGGCTTATGGTCAGCTTCGAATATCAATTACACTCCAGTAAAGAATCAAACATGACAGAGAACTGTCACTGTGATGAGGACAGTCATTATGGTAGTGTAAGTGGAAAGCTGAATGCATACCTGTACTGGTAGATAATGTAAACATATATATCATGATTTATAAATTGGCATTGGAAAAGTAATTTTTTTTTTTTAAATTCAATTGATAACATGAATCTATTGCTGGTGACGTTTTCCTCCATAGAGAAACTATAGCACTCACTTTAAGCATTTATGTAATGTATATCCTGAAATTTACCTCCCTCTGATGTATGGCTACCAGCCAGTCAAAAATGAGCAATTTTGGCAGATATCAACAGAGCAGATGAGTTTATATGTAAAAGATATTTTAAAGTATCACTATAATGAGAACATTTCTCATAAATAAACTACAGTGAAAACTGAAATGTGGGATTGTCTATGAAACAGATGCCAGAGTGTTTTTTAGCACTTTTAAAGTAGCACTTCAAAATACCATCTTTATTGTTTGCTTCTTGCAGAGTGTAATAATTCTGTAAGTTATGATAATTGCTCTTCACTTTTTTAGGTAGTTATTTACATGCAGACCTGCAAAAATGCAGATACATTATACTGCCTAACCAGATGTTGATTGCAGGTCAGTTGACTGCAATTGGCTTAAATGTGAGCACAGGTTTTGTTATAAGCAGCCTAGAACATTTGGTAGATGAAATCTCCAAGAATCAGAAACACTAAACCTACACGTAGTATATTTGCAAATATGAACTGTTTGACTATGGAATTATTGATTTAACAATTTTTTTCTTTTAATGATTTTGAATTGACTATTCTAGATTTGTATTCAAGGGTTTTTTTGATGTCTTTTCTCTCCTTTCTTAGAGTCAATTGTATATGCATCTGACTAACTACTCTGTCAATAAACATAATGAACACTTTGAACGGGATGAAACAGAAGACAAAGGAAGCAAACGCTCCATAAAATGGTTTACTGAGTTTTTAGAAACAAATAATCTTGATGTCTCCAAATTCTGGAGTGATATTTCAGTAAGATAAAACTAATATGCTTTTCTTTATTTTGCGTATTCTTAGAAAATTACTTGTTTCTGCTGTCCACTTTATTGGAATCCAGAATGATTTCTGAAATTTATTAATCCAGATTCTCAGCAATGCATGCCACAAAGGACATATTATAAATGACTATTATGTTTTTTAAAAGACTAAATTCAGAGTCTGATTATAAATTTAATAAACTTTTTTCTGAGGGACAAAAGCCCTTTCAAACAGTTATTCACATAAATGATATGGTACAAAGGAACCATCCCATTTAAATTCTTGAAGACTTTTTCTAGAGTATAAAGTGAATTTTATCTGTGGATATTTACAAAATTGTGGTCAGCATTGCATATATCTGTGGACTTGAACCTGCGCCGTTGAAGTCAGTGGTTGTTACAGGTGTCTTTAGGTGAGGAACAAACCTAAGATTATTAGAACTTAAACACTCTCTTTACATATGATTCTGAGAATACTTATTGAAAATTACATTGCAAAATGAAATGGGTGATGATTGGCTATGCTATACTTTGTTCCCAATATGCCTTTAGTATTTAAGTTACTACATATCTAAAAGTACATATGTACTATGGAAGGTATAGCAATATACTCTAGAGTTGTATTAAAAAAAAATATTTGTTGCTCCATAGGAATAGTTTATTTAATATAAAGACCATTTATGTGGTATTTTAAATCTTATTTTAGTAGATACTTTAATGAAGTTTAAAAGATTAAAGTATGACACACATTAGTTCAATATATACTGGTGTCTTCTCTCCTGATGAATTTTTCTGAAAAAAATCCCTACAGGAGTTAGTAGTGAAGACTCTCATAGTTGCAGAGCCACATGTTCTTCATGCTTATCGCATGTGCAGGCCAGGGCAAGCACCAGGAAGTGACAGTGTCTGCTTTGAAGTCCTGGGATTTGATATTCTGCTGGACAGAAAACTAAAACCATGGCTCCTAGAGGTAAACCTCTTTAAACAAATGTAAAGTAAATTTTTAAGAGTAAAGTTAACTAGGCCCCAGCTGAATCCATATCTATGTAAGAAAACTTCCAAAGTAAATCTGTGCATTGCAGGAGATACTGTTGTTGAGTACACAGATGGTGCTTTTTCTGCAGCCTTCATATGGAAACTGCCTTGCAGTGATTTTTGGAGACTCAGGTAAAGGTAATTATTTTTCTGGAGGAATGTTGCATTTCAGATGCTTTTGAAAGTTTTAATGAGAAATGTATTATGAATCCAGTTATTATTGTAGCTGAAGGATCTTGTTTATAGCAATTGATTACTACATACATTTCCTTCATGAGTATGGCTCTGTAATATGGCTCTGGAAACTTTTTGAATGCATGGTCTTAATTTTCTTTTTCTGAGGGTATGTGTTCTTTTCCTCTACTGTGGCTTTTAAAAGCACTCACATAAGCATAGGAAATTAATTCAATATACATGAAATGCTGTCAAAGAATTGGTGTGAATGGACTGGAAGAAACATTTCTCCTCTGATATGTTAGTGGTACAGTAAACTTAAGTGCTGCTCGCACACATTTTTCAACCAGGAATGTTTGAGGTTTGTCTATTGTGTCTCTTTAATGATACTATTAATAACATATAGATTAAGTTGACTTGCCTTTTTTCAGATTGTCTTATATCATTATGTTAACTAGCTGGGGGGCTGTACAGCTGGAGGAAAAAAAATAAAATGTATTAAAAACCTGCCTATTGACAATAAATCATGAATATGACTTGTCTACTGATGAACAAAATGTACACAATTAATTTACTGAATTATAACCTTGTTCTCAGGCCATTAATACTGTCAACAGTTGTTTTGTTGTGCTTATTTCTCTCAAGGGATCAGTATAATTTTAATTAGAAGAATAAAATTCCTTCACTGTTGCCATGCAGGCATAGGCATATTTGATGGCTTTGATGTGTTAGTCAAAAGCAGCACTTGACATGTCAGTACTACATTGACATCTGATTTTGTTGAGCAAAGCCTACAATCCTTTTCATTTAGCTCTACACATGCAGATTATCATCTGTAGGTTGCCTGTAGCTTGTATGTAAGTATATGTAGTTGTTTAAGTACAGACTGAAGTTGGCCTGTGCATGCACTTCATTCAGCCTTGTAGCAGATGGTGACACACCTCATTTATAAGAGATGGTGAGTCAATCTGTAGTGAATCTGTTCTGAAGGACACCCTTATATCTTCTTGGATGTTTACATGCAATATGGAGATTTTAGGGGGTTTGATTCACCATTTATGACAATGGGTCTCAGAGGAGAATCATGCTATTTCAGACTCCTTGTTTGTGGGGGAGGGATCTCCTAAAGTAGTAAGTGCTGCTCTGGTATTTTGGGTTGCTGAAGAATAATTCAGGACTTGGAGTTGTGTATCTGATTATTTTTTTTTTTAAATACAGATGTTTAATTATTTAATTTTCTGCTTTTGGTGATACAGATATCCTTCTTATCAAGCTTATTTTGCCAGACATTGAATTAAACTAACAGAAATTTAAAACTTTGAAACTTAGTAATTCAATTTCTATACTCATCCATTAATTTTTACTGTGCTTATTTGTGTTTTTTGCAGCAGTCTCGGAACACACACAGTATGTATATATATGCACACTGTATGTATATTATATGTAGTGTAGTAAAGTTCAAATATGCAGTGTATATATATGCACACTACATAATATGTATATTTCTATATAATTTATTTCCCCCCCCCCCCCCCCAAACCACTTCTGGCTTCTTCCCCAGCTTTCCACTTTTATCTCTTTTCACCATTTCCTTCTTGCCAAAACTCCCTTAGGGGAGTGAATCATTTGTTCTAACAGTAGTAACAAGTACTAATCACAGGGCCCTGAATGTTCCCAGTGTTATGGGAAAATTGCCAAAATAGGATTAGGATGGTAAATCTAGTTTCATATTTCCATACCTCATGTAGCTTTTCTGTTATAAAGATAGCTTAATAAACTATTATAAGAAATAAATTGTGTAACATTATAATGACTCTGCTTTCCTGAGATGACTTTTCTTTTTATTGCCTTGATGCGATGTAGCTCTCCTGCTCCTTGATGCTACTGAACTTCCGGAACCTTCTGCCGAAGTGAGGGCTGTGGGAAATGCGTGATTGCCATCTTGTGGCACCAAATGTTTCTGGCAAGCATCTGTGCAGTCCCAGCAGCCTGCATTCTTTCTGAGTAGCAACAACTACCTAGATCTCCCTTCAGTTCCCAGAAAGCTCAGTTTTACTCTTTTTGACCAAAATTTCCTAGCTAGGTTATTTTATGTAAATAGGAAAATCATACAGTTGAAGTTCTTCGATGGACTCCGGCCTTGTTTAGCCTCATTATATCCAGTTGGGATCACAAAGTTGTGATCATTGGAGAGAAAGGTCACATTTTAATAACTGCCTCGATTGCAGGGTACCCAAATTCCCTTGTGATTTATGCGGGTGAGAGAAGCTCACCTTATATACAGATCCACAAATTTATTATTTAGTGTAACTGAATAGCAAAATCTATTCAAAACTTTGTTCTTAATCCAGTTAAAATGACTTTGGACATTTTAGCCCAAAGTATCCAATTGTTGCTAATTCCTATTATTAAAGTAGTTAAAGCTCACATACACAAGCTTTCTGGCATCTACTTCTTTTTCTTGTTTAGCGTCTCTCAGACGCTTACTCTGCCTGTGCCCCTGGAGATTGAAAGGCCAACAAGGGGCAGGAGAGGTCTGCTTCTCCAAAGGAAGATAGGTAAGTGGTTAAAGCAAGTTGTCAGTGTCTTGTGTTTTTCACCAGGAAGAACACACTGCTGATGGTGAAGGTTTCTTTCTCTTTGCTTTTGGCTTCATTCAAGGTTATTTTTATTCATTTGCTGCCACTGTCCACTTACTGGCTGTTCATTCACTGGCCAGCAATTTCACATTGTTTCCAAGTTTTACCATAAAAGGTTTATGTTTCCTGGATTCTGCTCTGTGTTCTCTTTGCTATTGCTAGACACAGTGTTATCTAGTTCACATGGTTACATTAACATAGTGAACATTACTTGGCCACTGTGGTTGGTGTGTATCTCAGAGTCTCTGGATTTTTCAAGGCCTTTGCTATCATAATTTGCTTGTACTTTTGGGGCACCTCACTCAGTCCTTTCTTCGTCAACAGTATTCCAGATGTGCCTTCCTGATAAAATTACTAATGTTACATTAATTCGACCTAGTTATGTGTATGTCCCAGTTCTTGGGATATTGTCTCTCAGCTGACAGATACATATACAATGCTTTGGTAACCAGTTATTATGAATAACTATTGTGATAGTATCACTGATACATTATCAAGATTACTACGCTACTGTTTTACAGATTAGTCAGCAACCACATTTCTTGTCTGGAAACAAGGGATAGCTGTGTGAAAAATAAGGGACAGTACTTTCTTTTAAGGGATATTTTAAGAGAAGAGCACTTTTCTTAATGTTTTTACCCAAGACGTCTCAAGATTCTCACCCATGATCACATTTGACAAAACAAGAATATATTCAGTCCATTACATGAGTAAAATTATGTTCAGCTATCGAACAACTGAATATATAGGGTAATGGTATTTCCATTTCTTGTACTACTTAAACTACAGCTGTATGGAAATACATTTCAAATGTGTCTCATTGCATTTAATTGGCACTTGAATTGTTCTTGTGATAATATTTTTCATAAAGCTGCTGCATAAAAATAATCTTTTTTTGTCCGAGATAAAATTCTGCGTCTCAATCAGCAATGTGGCTTGTGGAAAATGACCAGTCTTCAGGAAAATATAGAATATTCTGTCCAGTTTTGTGGCCCAGAGTAGGGAAGAGACATTGACAAACTGGAATGAGTTCAGTAGAAAAGTGCTAAGGTAGTTAGGAGGGCTGGAGCACATGCTGTATGAGGAGGAGCTGGAGGAACTGGGTTTGCTTTGCTTGGAAAGGGATGGCTTTGTGGGCAATCACCAACTATATGAAATTTAACAAGAACAAGTGCTGGATTCTCTGCCTGGCATGGGGTAATCCTGGTTATACATACAAATTGAGGGATGAGAAGCTGGAGAGCAGCCCCATGGAAAGAAATCTGGGGGTTTGGGTTGATGGCAAGTTGAATATGAGTCAACAGTGTGTCCTGGCAGCAAAAAAGCCCAGCTGTGTCCTAGGGCACATGAAGCACAACAAAGCAGCTGGTCAAGGGAACTGCACTTGTTTGGCCCCACCTGGAGTACTGTGTGCAGTTTGGGGCATCTCAAAGAAGAAGGACATCAAACTGTTAGTGTGTCCAGAGTGTGGCAACCAAGATGGTGAAAGGCCTCAAGGGCAAGACTTAGGAGGAACAGCTGAGGGTCACTTGGCTTGTTCAGCTTGGAGAAGAGAAGGCTGAGTGGTACCCTCATCGCAGCCTACAACTTCCTCGAGGCGGGCAGTGGAGAGGGAGGTGCTGATCTCCCCTCTCTGGTGAGCAGCGATAGGACATGAGGAAATGGAATGAAGCTGTGTCAGGGGAGGTTCAGGTTGGACATTCGGAAAAGGTTCTACACTCACTAGAACAGGCTCCCCAGAAAAGTGGTTGTGGCACCAAGCCTGTGAGAGTTCAAGGTGTGTCTGGATGACACTCTTAGTCATATGGTTTAGTTTGGGGTAGTCCTGCGAGGAGCAAGGGTTTGGACTGGATGATATTCTATGATTCTGTGATCTAACTGAAGGCCTGAAGTGGGCTTGAGAGAAGACAGTCAGGTGCTCCTCAGAGAGGCACAGTGAAATGGCTGGGAAAACTCAGGAATAGTGCATAGCGGCATGATGTGGAAAGGTTGTTTGAATGAAGAGAAAGAGAATAAGAGAAACAAATACCTAGAAAAACTTTCTGCGTGATATTTTGGGAATTCTGTTATTGTTTCAAAATAGGGAAATATGTCCCTTGCTGATGCTCTGATAAACGCACAT